CACACACACACACACACACTCACACTCACAGCAGGGCTAATTTTCCCAGAAGACAAGTTGCCTACCAGTGGGTATTATTTGGACTGAAACCCATAGAACCATGGGGAGAACACGCAAACTCCACACAGACAGCACCTCAGGTCTGGAATTGAACCCGGGGCCCCAGCGCCACCCAGTAACCTCTTTTACTGTGCTTTTTAGTTCTCTGAACCATTCTCACGTCCGTGTGACTGCGTGTGTGTCTATAAGTCAGTGTGTCTGTGTACATCTGTCAGTCTGTGTGTGTCTGTCAATGTGTGTATCAGTCTGTGCATGTATCTGTCAGTGTGTGTATCAGTCTGTGAGTGTGTGTCTGTGTGCATCAGTCTGTGAGTGTGTGTGTGCATCAGTCTGTGAGTGTGTGTCTGTGTGCATCAGTCTGTGAGTGTGTGTGTGCATCAGTCTGTGAGTGTGTGTGTATCAGTCTGTGAGTGTGTGTTTGTGTGCATCAGTCTGTGAGTGTGTGTGTGCATCAGTCTGTGAGTGTGTGTCTGTGTGCATCAGTCTGTGAGTGTGTGTTTATCAGTCTGTGTGTGTGTGTTTGTGTCCATCTTGCCCATTTCCTGCCCAAGTCACACCCCGTCTCCCTTGAGAAAGGAGCCCGTCACGTCGCGCTGCCAGCGGTGAAAGGGCTGTTTGGACACACGTTCCACTGGGGGGCGCTGCAGAGGCTCAGAGTGACTGACCGCGAGGAAGGACTAAGCCGTTCCTGCTAAACAAGCTGTTCCCTTCATCCACCACTCTCTGTGTACAGAAAGGCCTCCTGTTTCCTGTCCTGCCTGCTCCGAGTCGCTGCCACTCTGTCGGACTCTGCCCAGTACCCAGACAGGACTTCAGGGGTCTGTTACGCTGGTGGAGTCTTAAGTGCCCTTAAGTGATCTCTGTCCAGGACTAAAAGGATTGAGGAGATCAATTAAGCAAAACGACTTAATTTAGAGAAGAAGCTTATCTCTGGAGGAGAGCCAGGAGCTGTGAAGGACCTTCCAGGAGTGCATTTCTTTAGCTCTGTGTGCCGGGACACAGACCAGGCTCCTACGTTTATTAATTCTAATCTATAAAGAGACTTTTAAAAGAGCGTTCATCAATATTTTTATCTTGGTATTTTCCTGGGGTAATTCTGCAAAGATTATACCAGTTAACCCTGCGGGTCACCTTGCCTGAACACTGAGCCAATGTGGCTCTGTCATGGTTTCGCCCGCAGCTCACAGAGTCCTGGATTACTGGACCAGTCTCTCTGTGCCTAAACCTGAGCTCACTGGGCTGCACTGCACTGTACTGTGCTTTTACTCTGATCTGACTGTAATATACTGCACTGTACTGTGTTTTTACTCTGATCGCAGTGATTTACTGCACTGTACTGTGCTTTTACCCTGGTCTCACTGGGCTGCACTGCACTGTACTGTGCTTTTACTCTGATCTGACTGTAATATACTGCACTGTACTGTGCTTTTACCCTGATTTGACTGTTATTTACTGCACTGTACTATGCTTTTACCCTGATCTCACTGTGATTTACTGCTCTGTGCTTTTACCCTGATCTTGGCCACCAGCCATATCACCCTGCAGCTCACTGCTGGCAGCCCACTGAACCTCAGGAAGTGTGAGCCGGGTCAGTACCTGGACGGGAGACCTCTTGGGAAAAACTATGGTTGCTGCTGGAAAAGGTGTTAGTGGGGCCAGCAGGCGGCGCTCATCCTGCAGTCTGTGTGGGTCCTAATGCCCCAGTATAGTGACAGGGACACTAGACTGTAAAAAGGTGCTGGACATTAAAAATCCCAGGGCATCTCTTGAAAAGAGTATGGGTGTAACCCTGGTGTCCTGGTGAAATTTCCACCTGGCCTTTACCAATCATGGCCCCCTAATAACCCCCCTCTCTGAACTGGCTTCATCACTCTGCTCTCCTCCCCACTGAGAGCTGGTGTGTGGGGAGAGTACTGGTGCATCATCCAGGTGGGGGTACACACTGGAGCTGGTGGAGGGGATCCCCATTACCTGTAAAGCGAGTGCAGTGTCCAGAAAAGCGCTATATAAGTGTAAGTATTATTATTTTACTGGGCTTTACTGCACTGTACTGTGCTTGTATCCTGATCTCGCTGGGCTGTGCTTTAGATTCATACCCCAGCCGTGGTTCTTGTGAGGAAAAGTCTGAAGGTTTTTTAGAATAAACACAGCTGTGATCGGTAAAGGAGATAAAGTTCTGGATTTACGCAATAACGCATTGTTAGCGCCTGCCGGGGACCGGCTGGAAGACGCGAGAGCCGGGCCGCGCAGGTGGCACCGATTTTACAGGGGCCGGCTGGAATTCTGCACACGAGCACACGTGCGCACGCACACACAGGGGAGCGCCAGAGGGCTGAGGCTGGCGCGTTACCATGGCGATGCCCGCCTTGTGTTCTGCGCACGTTGCCAGACCCGTCTGCTTTTTTTGAATTTTGGGTGGATGCCTGATCCCTGCCCCCTCTCCTCCTCTCCGCCCTCCCCTCCCTCTCTCACTTCCTGCTGCTCTCTCTCCACACTGTCTTCCCTCTTCGCTCTTTCTGACCTCCCTCTGTCTCTCCTATTCCTCCTTTCTCCTCTCTCTCTTCTAGTCCTCCTCTCTCCTCCCCTTCTCTCTCTCCCATTCCTCCTCTTTCTCTCCTGCCTCGCCCTCTCTCTCTCCATTCCTCCTGTCTCCTCTCTCTCTCCTGTTCCTCCTCTCTCTCCTCCCTCTCTGCCTCCTATTCCTGCTTGATCTCCTTTCCCCTGGATCGCTCCCCTCTCCCTCTCTCTCCTTTGCTCTTTTCTGCACTCACATCACGCACAAATGCGACACCATCGTCTGTGCCAGCGCCAGCCCGCTGCCCCCCCCCCGGTCTGTCTGCGTGCCCGCCATCGCGGCCGCGCCAACTCCCAGCCTGCGCCAGCCCAGAGCGGCACTGCTCCCGGCTCCCGGCTCCCGGCTCCCGGTCCGGACTCGGGGTCCGGGGACAGGGCGCGCCCTTCTTCTGTGCATATCAATCGGAAACATTCGCCGATCTTCTACCACACGGCTGTCCCCGACTGCAGGAGGGGAACGCGGACCGGCACGCGCGCCACCCCTGCCCGCCAGACCCGCTCCTCTGCCCCTGACGCCCCGAGGCGACGCACGCGGCTCTCTCCGACACCCCACCCCAGCGCTGCGCCATCCGGGCCAGTACCGGTACTGCCTACTGTGTGGGGTCGAGCCAGCGGCCTGCCCCTAGCCGGGCCACAACGCCAGCCGTTCCTTTCACTGACCTCCTTCACCTCACGCCTGAGACCTGTCCGTCCATCTTCCTGTTCACCTGGCCCTCGAGCTGGACAGGAGCTCAGTCCAGAAACAGCTGGACGGGTTCTTAAGAGCAAGCAGCAGTCGCTGTGGATCACGGCCCTACCCATCTCTCTGGCCCCAAAAGAACCTCCTTCCTCCGGACCCTGGGACGCCCGCGCTTGACCGCAGGTTCAGGTCTCACCTCCGCCTTCCGTCCTTGAGCTTAACCCCTTGTGTTCCCCTCAGTCTCTCGCTCTCACCGCAGGAAGACCAGCAGCCCGAGAGAGAAAGCACTGAATCCTGTCGTTATGGGAACTAATTCCTTGGCAACCTCCTGGCTTGGCAACATGCCCACCGGTTGCTAGGGCACGGGCTATCAGTCACTGCTGGGTGCTGTGCCAATCCGGATCTCACTGGGTCCCCAGCATGCGCTGGGGGTGGGGAGTGGGGGAGGGGCTCCGCACGAGACTCCTGGAGCTCTTCAAGACGCCTGTGAGAGCCGATCTGAGATTTGCCTGCTGGTTAAAAGATGTTGTGTGAAGATACTTTAATACTGAATGGCTCATTTTTGTAGATGAATTACCTCTCTGTTTGGGAGTGAAAACCATTCAACTCAATGTAATGGCTCTTTGGACAGAACTGTGAGGGCGAATACACATGGAATCCCTTCTGTGGTCAGAGCGACCAAGAGGCTTTACATTCAGAGCCCCACAGAGCTCACAGCAGAGTCTGCATCCCCTGGAGGAGGGACGCAGCTCTCACTGACAGCACTGCAGGACCACAGCAGAGTCTCCATCCACTGGAGGAGAGACACAGCTCTCACTGACAGCACTGCAGGACCACAGCAGAGTCTCCATCCACTGGAGGAGAGACACAGCTCTCACTGACAGCACTGCAGGACCACAGCAGAGTCTCCATCCACTGGAGGAGAGACACAGCTCTCACTGACAGCACTGCAGGATCACAGCAGAGTCTCCATCCACTGGAGGAGAGACACAGCTCTCACTGACAGCACTACAGGACCACAGCAGAGTCTCCATCCACTGGAGGAGAGACACAGTAATCGCTGAAACACCTAGTTTAGTATTGATTAGTTTGTTTTGTGGATCTGGATCTTTGATATGTTTGATGAAGAAGAGCGATCCCTGTTGTCCTTTATTACATCACCCCAATTTGAACAGATTCCTCATTCTCATTCTGCGCTTCCTGCCCATTACCCAGTTCTCAATTCATCTACACACATTGCAATTATGAGATGAGTCCAGAGTTCCCCTCTCTGCCTCGAGATGTTTCAGTCAAGCCCCCAGGTGCGGCTGTGGGAAGAGAGGATCACCCCAGTAACCTCCTGCAGTTTCCTCCAGCACCACCTCAAAACACCCTTCTCCTGCAGGGTCAGAGGTCACGACCAAACCACACACTAAAAACCCCCAGTTCCCAGCCGAGGACACCAACAGCCCCGCAGAGCCAAGGTCCTGGTGCAGAAGACATGGATTCCCCTAGTTCTTACCAGGCTGTGCACCTCCTGTCCCTGTGTCCTCACTTCACGGCCAGTCGTCACAGCGGGCACTGCACAGGGCTGAGAGAGAGACACAGGGAGTGACTGTGGGGGACAGACAGAGAGGGGACAGAGAGTCTCAGAGAGGACAGAGAGGAGAGAGGAGAGAGAGAGTCTCAGAGAGGACACAGAGGAGAGAGAGTCTCAGAGAGGAGACAGAGGCACACAGAGAGGAGAGAGACTCACTGAGAGGAGAGAGACAAAGACACACAGAGAGGAGAGAGACTCACTGAGAGGAGAGAGACAAAGACACACAGAGAGGAGAGAGACGGAGATCTATTCTTTCCCGGTGGAGAAGCACAGAGGAAGAGCAGGAAGGGCAGGTTTGCTGAGGGACAGAGCCCAGCGCACAGGCTGGTGTGCAGTGCAGCCGCACAGCAACAGGACAAAAATAGAAGCAGGGTTTTCCTGGAAGGGTATCTGGGAGCGATCCTGTGGAAGTGTGTGTGAGTGCCTATCTGGAGTGGGGCTCACCGCATGTCCGGGGCACATCTGGGCACCACCAAAATAATTCCTGGGCCGCCCCTAACGCTGACAGGTCAAGGGGTACCGGGAGAGCGCGAGGGAGAGGGGTTCAAGGGTCTCCAGCCCTCAGCGGTCCCTAGGGGGCCACACGTCCGGGAGACCCCAGGTGGGAACTCGAGAGCTGGAACTCGCAAGACTGAGAAAAGGGGAGACACTCCTGTGCACCCCAAGGGAGAGGGAGCTGCCTGGACAGCACAGGGAAATCCCCGGGAACTTCCCAGGTCCGAGGGATTCCTGCCGCTTCTTCGCCCGGAGAGGCGTGCCCGCGGCCACCTCTCGCTCACAGACCGCACCCCCATTTCCATCATGGGGCTCCCGCAGAATCCCGAGCTTCCCAGCCTTTCCCAGCCTTTATTTTATTCGGGACGCTCCCGTGCTGGATCGCAGGTACCGGCTCACCCTCGTGCCTCCGCGGAAACGGGTGTTACCGACGCTGCAAGAACGCGCCGCCATCGACAGCGTCCGTCCGCCCAGAAATGCAAGAGCTCCAGGAAGACGATCAAGGGCCGGGGGTCTTGTGGAAGACCAGAGCAGCCTGTGTTTCTGTCGTTTTGGGGGAGAGAGTCTGCACGCGCCCGTCTTGTGTTTCATTAGACACTGTTAGAGGAAGACCCCCCCTCCCCAGTCCCCCACATTACCCCTCAATTGAAACGCTTGATTGACCACAGTGCCCCTCATGAGGTCAGAGGTCAGACTAAACAGTCTGATGTCATGGCAACCATGGAAGACAGGAGGGAGGGGGTGGGAAGGGTGTGGCTTAGAACCTTGTCAATCAAACCTCAACGGCTTAACCCTCTAACTGCCAGCGTTATCAAGACTGGAAAAGTGCAGAATTCAGATCATGTGGGGTGGAAGATAAATGTTCATGTCGATATTCAATTTACCAGATCTCTACAGTAACAGGAAAGTTATTTTAAGGGACTGGAGCTCCTAGTGTAACAGACTGGTCTACTGCACTGGGACTGTATCTCCTAGTGTAACAGACTGGTCTACTGGACTGGGACTGTAGCTCCTAGTATAACAGGACTGCTCTACTGCACTGGGACTGGAGCTCCTAGTGTAACAGACTGCTCTACTGGACTGGGACTCTAGCTCCTAGTGTAACTGGACTGTTCTACTGGACTGGGACTGTAGCTCCTAGTGTAACAGACTGGTCTACTGGACTGGGACTGTAGGTCCTAGTGTAACAGACTGGTCTACTGGACTGGGACTGTATCTCCTAGTGTAACAGACTGGTCTACTGGACTGGGACTG